CCACACAATCAAAGGCTTTTGCATAGTCAATGAAGCAGAAGTAGATGTTTTTCTGGAACTCCCTAGCTTTCTCCATGATCCAGCGTATGTTGGCAATTTGATCTCTAGTTCCTCTGCCTCTTCGAAATCCTGCCTGTACTTCTGGTAGTTCTCGATCCACATACTGCTGGAGTCTAGCTTGTAGGATTTTAAGCATAACTTTACTAGCATGTGAAATGAGTGCAATGGTGCGATAGTTTGAACATTCTTTGGCATTGCCTTTCTTTGGAATTGGAATGTAAACTGACCTTTTCCAATCCTGTGGCCACTGTTGAGTTTTCCAAATTTGCTGGCAAATTGAGTGTAGCACTTTTACTGCATCGTCTTTTAAGATTTTGAATAGCTCAGCTGGAATACTGTCACCTCCACTAGCTTTGTTGTTGCTCAGATTTTCTAAGGCCCATTTCACTTCACATTCTAGGATGTCTGGTTCGAGGTCAATGACTATCTCATTGTGGTTATCTGGGATGTTAAGCTCATTCTTGTATAGTTCTTCTGTGTAGTTTTGCCATCTCTTCTTAATCTCTTCTGCCTCTGTTAGGTCTCTGCCATTTTGGTCCTTTATCATGCCCATCTTTGCATGAAACGTTCCCTTCATATCTCCAATTTTCTTGAAGAGATCTCTGGTCCTCCCTATTCTGTTGTTTTCTTCTATTTCTTTGCACTGTTCATTTAAGAAGGCATTCTTATCTCTTCTAGCTACTCTCTGGAATTCTGCATTCAATTGGGTGTATCTTTCTCTTTCTCTTTTGCCTTTCGCTTCCCTTCTTTCCTCAGCCATTTGCAAAGCTTCCTCAGACAGCCATTTTGCTTTCTTGCATTTCTTTTTCTTTGGGATGGTTTTAGTTGCTACCTCTTGTACAATGTTGCGAACTTCCATCCATAGTTCTTCAGGCACTCTGTCTATCAGATCCAGTTCCTTAAATCTATTTGTCACCTCTACTGTATATTCATCAGGAATATGATTTAGTTCATACCTGAGTGGCCTAGTGCTTTTCCCTACTTTTTTCAATTTAAGCCTAAATTTTGCAACGAGAAGCTCATGATCTGAGCCACAGTCAGCTCCTGGTCTTGTTTTTACTGACTGTATAGAGCTTCTCCATCTTTGGCTGCAGAGCACATAGTCAATCTGATTTCTATGTTGACCGTCTGGTGATGTCCATGTGTAGAGCCGTCTCTTGGGTTGTTGGAAAAGAGTGTTTGTTATGACCATCGTATTCTCTTGACAAAATTCTATTAGCCTGTGCCCTGCTTCATTTTGTACTCCAAGGCCAAACTTGCCTGTTATTCCGGTTATCTTTTGGCTTCCTACCTTAGCATTCCAATCCCCCATGATGATAAGGACATCATTTTTTGGTGTTAATTCTATAAGGTGCTGTAGGGCTTCATAGAACCGGTCAATTTCATCCTCTTCAGCACCAGTGGTTGGGGCATAGATTTGGACTACTGTGATATTGAATGGTTTGCCTTGGATTCGAATTGAGATCATTCTGTCATTTTGGGGATTGTATCCCAGTATTGCTTTTCCTATTCTTTTATTGACTATGAAGGCTACTCCATTTCTTCTGAGGGATTCTTGCCCACAGTAGTATACCTGATGGTCATCTGAGTTAAATTCACCCATTCCTGTCCATTTTAGTTCGCTGATTCCTAAGATGTCGATGTTCAGTCTTGTCATCTCTTTTTTGACTACGTCTAGCTTGCCTTGATTCATGGATCTTACATTCCAGGTTCCTATGGAGAAAAAATCTTTACAGCATCGGACTTTCCTTTCACCACCAGATATATCCACAGCTGAGCGTCCTTTCGGCTTTGGCCCAGTCGCTTCATTCTTTCTGGCGCTACTAGTACTAGCCCTCTGCTCTTCCCCAGTAGCATATTGGACACCTTCCGACCTGAGGGGCTCATCTTCCAGCGTCATATCTTTTTTCCTTTTAGTACTGTCCATGGGGTTTTCATGGCAAAGATACTGGAGTGGTTTGCCATTTCCTTCTCCAGTGGATCACATTTTGTCAGAACTCTCTGTTATAACCTGTCCATCTTGGGTGGCCCTGCACGGCATAGCTTATAGCTTCATTGAGTTACGCAAGCCCCTTCGCCACGACAAGGCAGTAATCCATAAAGGGGGACCCTTTCCTAAATGATAGCAAGCCAATTTTAGAGTTTTACTGCAATTCTATTTCAAGATGACAGGAAACCTTGCCACCAGTTTTTAGGCAATTGTGACAAAAAAATTTCCAAGTTCTACAGGAAGAGCAATTGGGTGCATCCAGCTCTTGAATCTCAGTGTATTCATCCTTGATATGCTGCCATTGAGGCATTCCATGGCTGAACCAAAGCATTACAAAATTTAGCTCAAGCTGTTATGAAAAGGACAACTAGGCCTGGTTCAGAAGTTTACAGTGGGTTGTCCCAGAGGTGCTTTTCAAAAGGCAACTTGACTTTCTTGGTCTTTTTTCCTTGAAAATGTTTCACTTCTCATCTTGGGATTGTCCCAAGAAGATTCCACAGCCAACTGCACTTTGATTCAGGTTTCCCTGAGCTAACAACCGAACTTCAGAGTGCTAACAACCAGATGACTGCTAAGGAATATAAATCCTTCCATTCTCCACCATTCAGCCAGAATCGAACAAGCTTCTTGGATGAGAAGGAAAATGTTTTCAAGGGGAAAAAAAACAAAGAAAGTTCAACTGCCTTTTGAAAATCAAATTTGGGATAACCATGACCTGGATGACAGAGAATCTCCACAAACATTTATAGCTGGTCTATTCCATTCCACAACTGAACCTGAAGAGTTAATTGTTGAATAGAACATTGCTGATTCCATTCCAATTAATTCCATACTGTAACCTTAAGTATCCCTGAAGTTGTAACAATTTTAGATTCACCAGAAATACAAGAATGAAGTGAATTATGTATTGTAATATACTTTGAAATAAAATTGTTTAAAGTGATGCAGGTTCAAAAGATAAAATATAACTGTCATTTAGCCCCTGAAATATGATGCAGCACAAGGACATTGTAATTCAAACTCAACTCCTAGTGATTTCCCATGCAGTTTTCTTGACATTGGTATAGATGTTTGCTATTGTCTTATTCTGGGATAGTTCTATCACTTCTCTGTCTACCCTACTATCCTGGTATTACCTGTTGTCTCCCAAGCCTCCATATATATTGATAAGTAACATGATTGGTAAATATCAGCATTCATGTGTAAATAAAATGAATTACAAAACACAGTGTACAATCACTTGCACATGTGATCTAGGTGGGACATAGGGTTAATCATTAAAATGTTAAGTCGTTTAATCTTACTGTAATAATAGAATGCCTGCAGATATATACTGTAGATGCACTAGAATGGGCAAAGTTAGCTTTTTGTTTCTATCACGGGAGCATCAAAGTTCTTGGATAAAATGATTGGCAAAATGTGAGAAACAAAAAGTTAAGAATTATTATCCTACAAAATGAATTGATAACTAGGTCAGGATTACTGTATTGCCTGTTTTCCTTGAGAGGAAAATTATTTCCTATCATCTTCATCCAGCAAGTTGCATCTGAGTTGCAAACAGGTCTCATGTGCTCCATTGATATGAATGCAGGTGAACACCTGGATCTCTCTGACTTAACTAAATGCATCTTTTGGTATGGTGAATTCAGTTCATAAAGCCTCAAGTCTTTTTACATCAGCCTACTCCTACCTGATACCCTCCAAATGCATGAGGATTAGAATCCAAGTACACCTATCTAGTATGACCATAAAGCTACCGCAAAAGGGAATAGATCCAGATCCCCAAACTTGAAACTGGGATTGTAACCCCTTTGCCTTCTGTCAAAATAATATCAGTTCTCAGCCTTCCAAATAACCACAATTTTGTGACATTTTTCTGTTCTAGCCAGCTTTTCCTAATTGAAGACCTGAATTTAAATCTAAAATATCTGGCTTCTTCTTGGGAAAAGTTACCCTGAGCCAGGGGTAGGCAACCTTGGCTCTTTTATGACTCGTGGACTTCAACTCCCAGAATTCCTGAGCCAGCATGGCTCAGCTTGGAAACCTCTCCCTTTCTCCTCAGCATGGCTGGCTCAGGAATTCTGGGAGTTGAAGTCCACGAGTCATAAAAGAGCCAAGGTTGCCTACCCCTGCCCTAAGCTATAGACCTTTTCATTTTATATTTATTACTATCTCCTTTAATACTAGCTAAGTTAAATACAAAAAAGATAGCAAAATAATTTTCACCTCTAATTTTAAACAATTATTTTATTGGAGGCAGACTCCTAAGACATCATTACCAGAAAATTACAAAGAGAATCTGATGCCATAATAGGATTTTGTGAAAGAAATCTAGAGATAGTCATTCAGAAGAACGAGCAGGGGGCACTAATTCAACACAGCTTGCTTACTCCAAAAGAGAAGTTGAGGAAAAAAGCCCCCTTCCTTGGAAGGCATTAGTCTAAAATTACCTAACAACAGGGTAAAATAAGGTTGTGTACTTATTTATATACCTCCCTTCTGCCTTTGATACTTGCCACATCTGAAGTAAATAATACATCTTGGAAAATTACCTTAAACCAAGACATATGTATTGCCTTTCACTTTTTCATCCCCATCTACTAAGTACCTTTCCTTACAAAGTTCTTCGGAAATGACTCCTTATAGCTAATGATTAGAAAGAATATTTTTGTTAGTATCTATAGATGCAGCCAGTCAAGTTAGAACAAAACAATCTGATACCTATGAAAATTATTTCTGCAAAATGAAGCACCCAGAAGTAGGAAGAACACAGAAAGGAGTAGCAGAGAATATGAATTTTTTCTACTAGCTTGAAAACAAATTTCATCCACTTGTCTATAGCAAAGCTCAATGCCATTTTTCCTTTGAGTGTTATTCCTCTGTCCAGCAAAGGTCCATCCCCTCATTCCTCACCCTTCCAGTGACCTGTGGAGTAGAAGCTGCCTCTTACCCATTCTGGAGGCTACTGCCCCCAATAAAGCCAAAGCGATCCGTCTTGCGATAGGGAGCCATGCCATTCAGCTCAGAGTCGGAGCCCAGAGAGCTGGCATCATCACGCAAGGAGAAATCAAAGGCATCTGGTAGTTCCGCCATAGCTTGGCTTACATTATCAGCCGACAGAGAAAGGTCTGACATCCTTCCCTACCATTCAGATCCTTTGAATCAACTGAAACCATCAATTTTGTGATTTATCTCATGTTGACTGCAGGCCCTTGGCTCAGGAACTTCTGAAGAGAAAATTGCCTCTATGAACGTACCCTTACTGTTATGATAAGAGTTCCTCACAGGTTCTGCAAGCTATTTCCTCCCCAAACCATTTCCTGATGTAATACATAGCTCTATGAAATGGGCAAGGCAAAGGGGGTGGGGAACTAAATGTTCACAGTAACTATTGCAACAATTCTATGTGGAACAAATATCATGTCAATTAAAAGACAGAATCCACAAACACTGGCTGGCAGTCAAACACCACAATCCCAAATCCTTAATCTCTACCCACACTCACACCAAACAACACCAGTTCGATTGGAGCAACACAAAAATCATTGGCCATGCTCATGATTTCATTGAAGCCTGGCACTCTACAAGCAATTCCATCAACAGACACATTGACTTACAACTAGCCTACAAACCCCTCAGAATCCAAATCAACCACACAGCCAATCACAGACAACATCAACCCTCAATCAACCCATATAAGCCCCCCCACCAGCAGTTCTTCTCCCAATGACCCTGACCTGATGTAACCTCCCCATCACAAGCCTCTCACTGATGACTCACACCTGACCCATCACAAGACCCTTATTTGACACCTGAAGAACACTGACACTAACATCCCCTAAACTCCACTGAAAATGTTACCTAGCCTGGTAATGAAAGGTTCGGAAACCAAGCCACAAGCTTGGAGAATGAATCTTCACCCTCATCTATCAAATTTATAAATGGATAGTGCTAATTTTTAGCCTTGATAAATTTGTGTCATGCTTTGAACTAGACTGACTCTCCAAATGTGCAAGCACAGTACCAGCAAGGTACCCTGGAAGATGCTGGAATAGCTGCAAACTTTCTATGCTCTATTCATTCCATTACAGATGCTGGTTGCTCAACAAGATCTAGACCATAAATGACTACCCCTTTGCTATTGTTGGATAGTTATCTCAAGAAAACGTGTTGTACTTCCTTGAAGACACAGGGGATTACTGTGGGAATCATGATTGTTCTCTGTTAGTCACAAGATTTAGAGTGAATGCATGTTTCAGATTATGTAATAAATCAACAAATCTAGTTTCGTTTTAAATGTACGTAGCAGTCATTGGGACCGGAGGTTTAAGTCTTCTGAGCTTTTGGACTCATACTGGAGCCTATCCTCAAGGAACTTCTCTCTAGCAGAGTATGTGCTTTGAGAGATGTTCCCTGAGGATGGACTCCAGTATGAGTCCAAAAGCTCAGAAGACCAAATCTCTGGTCCGGGTGACTGACCCAGATTGGATCCTGCAACATTATCCTGGGACATGTATATTCACCATTGTTTGTAAATATTCTAAATAGTAGTAGATATTAGCACACATTCAGCTATGTGTAATGATGAGTTCCTAAACCCAGCATGTGCAAAGGGTGAAAAAGTCATGGGTCACTAGTGTATATATTTAAATGCAGATTTTACAAATTCCTAAACAACTGAAAGGTTGCTGTAGAGGAATTTTATCATATATAAAATTAAATTCTTTAGTGACTGTATAGAAAGTAGTGTATTGGCAGCTGTAATTGGCTCAACTGTACCTCTGCAGTTTGTTTGACTCATCCCAAGGTGTGCTACTGAAAGGTTTCATCTGTCTTTTGAATTGGAAAGAACAAACATGAATGTAGAAAAATTTAGCACTAGTGATGTAAAACTGTGTTTTTACAATATACTGATACCACACAGAATCATGTTTTAGTGAATTAACCGAATTGACTGTCTTTTATAAGATGAACCATAAGCTAACCACTGGGCCTGGATCTTCACACTAGTCATAAACTATTTGCTCACATAGCCTTGCCTTAGGTCTAATGCACAAACTGAGGGGATGTTGATGGCTCTCTCCAGCAGAGAGGGAAGGGACAGCAAAGGGCCAAGGCATAGGGAGTCAAAGGATCTGTGTTTGCTTGAGGCAGGGAGTGGGAGAAAGTCAGGCAGCAAAGTGCAGCAACAGTTTGGCTTGGGGAAGGCAAGGCAGGTCAAGCCTGCAATGGTGGGAGCATGTGACCTGCTGCATGAAGGTTAACCTAAAGAAATTGTGACCCATGGCAAGGTATTCCACAGGGTTGATATTTCTGATCCAAGAAAGGAAGACGAAAACTGCTTGTTGAGCATGCTCTGATCTCTCTGGCAGCCAAGGCAGAAATGGCCATGGGTATACAAGCTCAGGGGCTGGACTGAGGGAGGCAGTTCCTGCAACAGAGCAATTGGACCTGCTGGTTGCCAACTTGGGACTATTCCTTTCGAAGGGCTTGCTCTGTTTGGGAAGATGAAATACCACTTTTCTGGCAGACGAAGCTTCTGTTACCAGGCTAGCGGGCAAGAAGGCCGTGGGGATTCAGCTTCCATAGGATTTTGCACCGGACATCTTAAGACAGCTAGCCATTTCTCTACTCTGTTTTCCCTCTCTTTCAGATGCATGCAATAGGTATCAGTTTCACCGGCTTCTCAGGGAAATGAATTCGCCAAAAGTACTTCGTATTTTCAAAGCGTTGTAGGTCCGCATACTTGTCCGCCAGCTGATTCTTCTGACTCTACTGGGACCAGTGTGAAGTAAACACCACACTTCCCAGAAGCCTCTCGCCGCCACCATCTCCTCTTCCTCCTCCTCCTCCTCTCCTCCTCCCTGGGATCCGCCAAAGCTCGCGCAATCGCAAGAGAAGCCTCGTTTTGATCCCTCCAGCCTGTAGGTGGTGGTGGCGGCTGCTGAGGACGAGGGGGCCTATAGGTTCACGGCTTCCTTTTTTCTTTTGCGGGTTGCTTTCGGAGGAGGAGGAGACTCCTTGGCAAGAAATAGGAAAAGAAAGCCGGCCTTTCCCTTCCTCTTGCTTGCCAAGACCACCGAGGGGGCCGGGAGGGGGGCGCGCCGAGGGGAAGGAAGGAAGCAACCAGGCGATCTCAGTTTCTTAGGACGCCATGTCGGACGGCGAGAAACTCAATTTAGATTCCATCATCGGGCGCCTGCTGGAAGGTAAGGGGCTGGGGCTGGGCCGGCTTTGCGTGACTGAAAGCGATTGGAGTGCCCGGGTGGCACAGAGTCCAGGGGAAGGGCGAGCGGCGGACCTTGCCCGCTTTCCGATCTCCCGCTTCCCCTCCCGGCGCTGGAATGTACCACGCCGCCCCCGCTCCAGCGCCTCTTCTCCCGGCGGCAGGCGCTCTCGACCGGCGCAGGGGAGTTCCCAAGATTTCCAGCAGCGGTTTTACTTCCCTGATCTGGGCCGAAGGAGCGAGGAACCGGATCGAGCTGTATTGCGCGAGCTGGCGCCTCGGCATTTTCTCCCACGCGTAAGAGGGATGAAATGGCTCAGAAAGCGCACCCTTCCTTTCCCTGGCGTGCTCGCAGATCGAGGTGTCTCTATTTACTCGGGCGAGGCGGCATTTATAATCCCCTTCAGCCTAGTTTATACGATCGGGAAACCGAGGTCGGTTCAGGACTAAAATCTCCTGGAGGAGGTGCCCCCGCCTCGTCTGCGTCGATTTTCCCACCGCGGCTCGCCTTTTGTAGCCTCTCAAGCGCCGCTTTTGCCAAGCCTCTCTCCTGATCTTCTCGCTAAAAGAAACGAGCCGGATGCCGGCGTCCGGAAGAGACATTCTGCAGGATTGGAGGGAAAGCTTAGCGGGGGGTCGGGGCGGATGCGAGCCCTGCGCCTCGAGAAGGGTGTGCCGGTGCCCGAGGGATTCTACCAGCCTTGGCTGAATGTTCTTGCAAATACGATCCTAGGCATAACAGCGATCGAGCTGCACAAGTGTCGGGGACTCATCCTCTCCGAATGAAGGCGATGAGCCCGACTCAGGCGGGGAGCGGAGTTTCCTAACGCTAACGGTGGAAACGAAGAGATAGATGGATGCCGAATCGCCAGGCGATTCCTGCAGTTGTTTGCTTTGGCTTCTCTTGGGTGCAAAGGGAGGGCGGGGTGAGGCGCAGGTGCTGGCCTACTCCTGGGGAAAGACATTTTGGCGCTCGGTGAGGAGGGGAGAGGCTTAGCCTTGCAGAGGCCCTGACTGAACACGCTGTTCTGGCCTTGAGAGCAGGACCAGAAGTTGAAGCTCTTTTCAGGAGGTTATCTTCAAAAGCTGACCTATCCAGGCATGAAAAGGTAGTTACCTAATTCTCCACGCCCAACAAGAAAGGACGATATATCAATGTTGACTTAAAAGACCCTTTGCTGTTTCAAAAATAATTACAGATCATTACAGCCCCAACCTAAGTGTTCACTTCGGTGTCTGTCTCTCATATATAATTCCGGAGATATGGAGTCTACTTTTCTGCTAACCAACACAGTGGGATTTGGCTTTCCCAGATTATGCAATTGTGTCCTAGTTCTGATAAGCTTGGGATTTAATCTTGCTGAATTTAAATTGTGAGGTGGGTTAAATCTATTCCTGTTGCAGGGGTGGGTGGGTGGAGTTTGAGAGAGATTGGCAGCAGAATAAGCCAGGATTTTAATATTAAGTTTGGATTGTATAGATTTAGGTTGTTGCTTTTGATTCAGAGCTGTTTATTTGCAAGGCAGCAGTGCAAAGAAGAAACCTTTGATTATAAAATTTGATCTGCTGTAACTAGAAATTTGAAACACCATCACTTTGCAATTATATAAGATAAGATAACCTTTATTGTCATTTTTATACTGCGGGCACAAAGGCACACATCAAATTATTATTGTGTTAAGAAGTGTGTTTATTCTAAATGATAGAGGACTGCTTGTGAGGAGAGTGCTGTCATCCCATACTGTTAGGTTTTTACTAGCACTGTTAACTGATCCACTAGCTTCAGAGCCTGCTTTTCATTAAAAACATAGTCCCAAAGCAGAATAAATGTTATACTAAAACAAATATGCAGTTATGAAGCTCCTTTAAGATTTTGCTTACTGTGTGACAGTTCCCCAGTGGGTGTCTCTTGAGCCAATAATGATTTGGTAACTTGTGAGAAGTTAATGTATGTCCTTCAGGTACAGACCTGGCTAATGGATTTTGCCTTTCTCAGCTGGAGAAGGAAATAATGCTTTTCATGTGGGAACAAGGTAGGATTTGGTTATTACACCAGAACTTTGTAGAAACAAAAGAAGAGCAACATGCCAGGAATAAATCCGGGAAGGTAACCAGCATGAAGGTGTTTGCTTGGGAATAGGAGTATCAATTTTTGTTCCCCTAGTGCAAGGATCACGTCCAGGCAAGAATGTTCAGCTCACAGAAAATGAGATTCGGGGCCTATGCCTGAAGTCACGAGAAATCTTCCTGAGCCAGCCCATTTTGTTGGAACTAGAAGCCCCACTCAAAATTTGTGGTAAGCTGTTGCAGTTTTTTTCCTGTCTCTTTCGCTAGAGCTCTCTCAAAATGGTTGCCTCCGTAGGCATGGTCAGTCATAAAAACACATATTGAGCAGAAGATTCTGTACTGGCACTTTCAAAATGAACTGAAGCTTGCCTTTTTCTTTTTATCTGATCAGATCTTTTAGACAAAGCATTGAGCAGCATCTCACAGTTATTTTAATTTTCCAAGCATGCCTATGTAAACCAAGATACTAGAGGGCAATGCCTTGGGTTGCATTGTATCACCTTCCTATTTAATCAATTTTAAAATAGGGCAAAAAAAAATCTGGCAGACATTAAAGATGATGTCTATAGGCACATTGATGCCAGGCTGTCTGGTTCTGGGATAATCAATTCCCAACCTTGCCATTCTCACTTAGGAAGAAGACAGCATATGTATAAGTGCAATGTATAAATTGTTGATTATGTCTGCATTTCTCTTCTTTTGTTTTCTACCATCTCCCAGGTGACATCCATGGGCAATACTATGATTTGCTCCGGCTTTTTGAATATGGGGGGTTCCCCCCAGAGAGTAATTACCTTTTTTTGGGTGACTATGTGGATCGGGGGAAGCAGTCATTGGAGACAATCTGTCTGCTGTTGGCCTACAAAATTAAATACCCTGAGAACTTCTTCCTTTTGCGTGGAAATCATGAGTGTGCAAGCATTAACCGTATCTATGGCTTCTATGATGAATGTGAGTGCATCACACCAATAGACTTACAGAGTGGGAAAGGAGGCCATGTCGTAGTCAAGTATACGTAGATAATGGGGGTAGACGTTTGGGAAATGGTATGTGGCATAGTGTGTCCATGCCACAAGTCCTTCTTTCTCTCCAACCCCAAGGAGATCCCCAACAAATCTTGCAGGAATGTGACTATTCAAAACTATTCAGCTTTTATTTTTTTTCCAGCTAATTTTTTTTGCCCCTTTCCTGCTTTCCATAGGTAAACGGCGATATAACATAAAATTATGGAAGACTTTCACTGATTGCTTCAACTGCCTACCTATCGCTGCCATCGTTGATGAGAAAATCTTCTGCTGTCATGGAGGTGGGGTATCTATAATGTTGGGGTGAGGAAGCTGGTTGCACTACTGATGCCAGCAGTGCTGTAGGCAAGAGATTGAAGTAATGCAGAATTTCTCCAGATGGTTCACAATCTGTGTCAACAGGAAAAGAAATCAAGTCATAGGCAGTGTCAATAGCACAGTGGAGAATTTGGTGTCCTTTGCATATTGCGTAGGCGTGTTTCCTTTGGGAGTTGGAATGAAGTCTGGGAAAAAGTGAAAGACCACATTCACTTCCTATAAAGGGTTTCCTCTTTGATGCAGCATTTTAGATGACAAATTTATTCAGGCCAATTTTGATCCCACTAAGGGATAAGAATTGGCTTAAAGGATTGAGTATGGAAAGCTTTGTCAGATGTATTTTTTCAGTTAATACCCCATACAGAAGTGTGTTGTAAAATAGTGATTCCTGGTACAGCCGGTTACATGTTACCTCTAGTGAGAGCTGCATGTTGAAATAATCTGCTTTATAAATGCAAATTCTGTGTTCCAGGACTATCTCCTGACCTCCAATCTATGGAACAAATTCGGCGGATCATGAGGCCCACAGATGTGCCTGACCAGGGTCTGCTTTGTGACTTGCTCTGGTCGGATCCGGACAAGGATGTGCAAGGCTGGGGTGAAAATGACCGTGGGGTCTCCTTTACATTTGGTTCAGAAGTAGTTGCCAAATTTCTTCACAAACATGATCTTGATCTGATCTGCAGAGCGCATCAGGTCAGAGCATAAAGCAAGTAGGGAAGGGAACACTTGGCTGGAGTGGGAGGAAGGGGTCTGGGAAGTTATGTAGTTTTAAATAGAGAAGGTAGAGCGGGTGAGTGGGAAACATAGCTGCAAAAGCTGACAATGAAATAAGGAAGAATTGAAGCATGTTGGCAAGGGGACATTAGATAGGGTTGAGCATGTGCATATATTTGATTGATGGTTTTTCCCACCCCGGTTAGGTGGTAGAAGATGGTTATGAGTTTTTTGCCAAACGGCAGCTGGTGACACTCTTTTCTGCTCCAAATTACTGTGGCGAGTTTGACAATGCAGGTGCAATGATGAGCGTTGATGAGACCCTCATGTGCTCCTTCCAGGTAAGGACTTTTGAAGATGCTACTTTTACAGCTGTTATCTTTTTATGCACAGAGCAGGCAATAAAAGCTGAAGACACAAGGGTGTGTATTTTGTGACGAAG